ATGTATATTTATTATATATGTATACATATATATATTTCCTACCTTAGTATGTTTTATCAAACAAAATGAATATCCATAAAACTTGATTTACAGTATGTAATAATTTGGGGGAAAAATGACAAGAACACACCTGACAGTCCTTTCTCACCCTTAGAGCATTCAGCATTATTATTTTTGGAAGGTGACTAATCAGGGACTTAGTAAACTCATGCATTTTAAGGACAAAAAGGTGCAGTTAAAAGAAAAGGAAAGAAATTAACTCTCTCTGTGCAATGGAAAAGTCACTATTTTTTCAAAATAGAAATTAAGATGAATAAATTACTTTCTCATGTGTTGATAATGAGTAAAATGGAAAAACTTCACACAACACAATCACAATTATAGTCTTGCTAGTGACCCGGTACACAGATTCATGCACATTGAAAGGAAGAAGGTGGCTGGTGGGTAGGGACTGGGCGAGATGGTTGGACATGCCCTGGAGCCAACCTCCCCCAGTCCCTCCATGGTATCTGCAGAGTGAGGGGGTCCCTCCCACAGGTGGGGTCCCTTGGCCTGGCCTGTGAGGATCAGGTCGAAACTGGCTCTCCCCCGAGGGGTCCTGGAGTGAGAGAGGGCACTCTGCAAAGTTGCTGTTGTACAGGGTGTGGAACACAAACACAAGTGTGCAGTAAACCAGATTCGGGGCTGACAGTGCCCCAGCAACAACATAACCCATGGCCAAAGGTGGTATCGTGGGGCCCTGCGAGGAATCGGGCTCCCTCCTCTCTGGTTTTGGGGTGTGTCACCAGAGAACTGCTGCTGACAAGTCACTACAGCTCGGCAGTTCCTGCATTGAGCATCTGCCCCGTGGTGGTCAGTGCACATCATAGCGACTGGTCGAATGATCTGACACTTAGCATAGTAGCCTTTTATATATATAGATATTTATTGGAGGATATTTAAGTGGTATAATAAAATGACCTAATTATTTATTTTACAATATGTAAACTGAGGCCCAAAAGTAACCACAAAAATCAAAACTACCCACGAAGCCTTCCAAACAAACAGAGACCTTCCTATGAGAGCTGCAGGATTTACAGAATGCAATAATGCAGAGAGCACAGCAGGTTTGGCTTTGACCTTTTTTTTACTCCATCCATGTACTTAGGCCCAAAGCCCACAACATCATTTTTAAAGATCTGTAGAAAATCTTATTCAGACATATTTCCATAATGTCCAAATTTGGGGCCAGAAAGTAGGAAGTATGTGGGATGTTCACCCACAATTTTCTGTGGCTGCACATTCGAATCTAGTTCCTCGGTGGTATAGACAGGGCACCCAAGCTTCTGGTTACATCTATGATTGTCTGTAAAAATTGTTGGTTCAAATTTCCATTTACTTTGATTGCCTCCTAGCAAGCCAATCTATTTGCTATTGCCTTCTGGGCAAAATGCCTGGGCTTTGTAAAATGAAAAACGAACTCCTATTGAAAAGAAAAAATAGACCCAAGGAAAATACATATCAATTGTTGGTGTTCTTCACTGAGTGCATTTTCCACAGCAATGATGTGGAACCTCTGGTTAATTTCAGGAGCATTTTCATTTGGGGGAGACTGCTCTAGTAACAGCTCACGGTTGTCTGTTTCAGGACTGCCCCGAATGTTTTTATTCTGCTACCTTTGTGTTCAATTGCCATCGACAAATGATTGCTTGCCCCCATTACTTCTGCACGAGGCATCCAGAGATGCCTCGGGATTGTTTTTTGTGGATGCTATGGAATCACCCATAAGCCAGTGTAAATCCTAAACATAATTACCCTGTCCCCAGGTAGACATGAACTAAAAACATTTCTGTCAATTAAATTCAATAAAGATTTGGACAAAATGCCCTCTGATTCGTCATAGTTAGAATTTCTGAGGCTGCCTTTACTTTGAAAACTGCCCAGCAGGTGTATGAAGAGCAACAACCAAGAAACGTAGAGCCTTAAGAAGGCAACACCCCCTTTTTAAAAAACATAATTGCTGAGCTCATCAAAGAAACCACACACGATGGTCTTGTGCCCCCAAAGCTGCGGGGGGGGGGGGGGCGGTGAC